TAATCTGTGGAAGCATAGCTCATTGGAATTTTTTTTTTTTTTTGAGAGAGATTTTTGCTGTAGGGTGCATGCACAGACAGATTCAGACATAAAGTGAGAAATCACCCCCATGGGGAAGGCCACGCTGCAGTTCCTTCTCCTCCATTCTCCTCTTGGAATTTTGGGGATGCATATACAAGCACCTGGAGTGAGTTTTACCACTAATTTCGAGATTCAAATCGCTGTTGGCTATGTGGGAGTCCAGTGACTTAACTATTATGCCATCTGTTCGTCCCCATTTTTTTACAGAAAGATTTTTGCAGGATCAGCTGATGGGGTAATCTTTATGTCACTGGACTGCCATGTAGTGGACCATGGTTCAAGTCCTGGATCTGCGGTTCAAAACTCACGCCCAGTGCTTGTGTATGTGTGCCCAAAATCCTGAGAGGAGAATGGAGGACAAGGGATTTTGGCATGGTTGTCCTCTCTAGGGGTGATTCTTTGCTTTCTGTCTCTGTCTGTCTCTCTAGTGAGCACATGTGTCTTATAGCAAAAAAATCACTCCCTAAAAAAAAAAAAAAAAAAAAAAAAAAGATAGAATGTAGGTATGATAACTACTGTAATTTCAAAGTACTGATGAGAATAAATATATTTTTGAGGTAGCTACAACAAAAATATGATATAAATATATCTGGGATGCCTGTCCACCAATATTCCCCAAACCAAAACATATCTTCGATTTGTTGCATAACTTTTTATAAAGATAAAGATATAATTTTATTGATTTCCCAGCCAAGTTTGGCCACCTGATTTCAATTCATTCTTTGCACAGACCTTTGCTCTAAAAGGGTGATCCACAAATGGAAATTGCATACGCATTTTTTTAACTTGCTAGAGAGTGCATGTGCTTATCAGAGAGAGACAGAGGGAGAGTGGGAAAGCACTCCTCAACAGGACATGGTCATTCCACAATCCCTTCTCCTTCGTTTGTGTATCGTATTAGAATTTGGGGCACACATGCACATACACCAGATATGTTTTCAAGTCACCAGAGCTGGGTTTGGCACGATATGGTCAAACATGGGGAATATGGGTCCCTTAATGACCCAGCCACAGGACCCTGCACAACAGTTTTTGTGTATTCAAAAAGTGCAGTTTGAGAAGGAAAGGGTCCATTGTATTTATGAGATACTTCAATGGTTTTGGGGAAAAGACAGACATTCCTTTTTTAAAAATTTGCTAGAGGGTGTATATGCTGCAGTGAAAGAAAGAGGATGTGAGTTTTTTGTTGTTGTTATCAATATTGTTATTAATTTTTTTGGAGAGGTTCTTACTATAGGGTGCGTGCCAGAAAGACAGAGAGAGACAGAGTAACAGAAAGCAAGAAATCACACCCCAGAAGCGATGGCCACACTGCAGTCTCCTCTCCTCCATTCTCCTCTCAGGATCCTGGGCATGCACACACATGTGCCTCGTCTGAGTTTAAGCCTCCGGGTCTGAGACTCGAACTGCTGTCGACTACATGGGAGTTCAGCAACATAGCCATTACACCAACTGCTGGTCCCTTGTCATCATTATTAATGATAACACATTTCATTTGTATAATCTTTTATTCACTTTTTTCATGAGCGTACTGTCTTCTTACATCTGAGGATATTGATTCTGCTACTCTAAATTCCTCTTGTGCTCTCTCTCCTAATTCTGATTTGTTGAATCTAAACTCCTTTGTTTATGTTATGTTTTTTGTTCTTAATGGAGTTGACTTTTTTATGTTTGGTCACTCCAGAGTGTAATTCAGCCTCGTACTTGAAGTCTACTGATTCTGCTTTCCAGCTCTAGGGAGAGGTGAAGTGTGAGGCTGGGATTTGTGTTCCAGATGTATTCCCCTGAGAACAGGAAGGGGCAGGAGGTGGCTCCTGAGGGATATGACTATCACTGTTTAAGTTGGAAAAATAATTAAAATGATTGAAATTCAAGATTAGTTCCTTAGTCACATGAGCCAGTCTCAATACTCAGTAGCCGTATGTAGCTAGTGGTCCTTATTGAGTATATAACACAGGCGATGACTTGCACTGACCTCAGCTGTCTGCAGTAAGATCCTGAATTTACAAACAGAATATTCACTGACAGAAGATAGAAAAGAATACATATAGTATGATACCACTCGTATGAAGTACAAGAAGTAGCAAAATGAAATTATGTTATTCACAGTGTAGGTCATTTGAAATGTAAAGAAATTGTCATAAAAGTTGGGACAGTGGTTCCCTCTAGGGGATGAGAGAGGGTTGTGGTTAGAAGGAGGCACACTGGCTGGGGGGGTTTGGGAAGCTAACAGTGTTCTTTGTTGACTTGAGAGTGCTACACAGTGTTCTTTTCTTGACTTGAGAGTGCTACATGAGTATTTGCTTTATAATTATTAAACTGAACATTTGTGCTCTGTGTAATGTATGCATACTGCAGTTCTCAAATAACTTTTGTAGAGAAAAAAAATCAAATGGCTTTACTTGTAGCCCTGACATAGTTGTATGTGTTGCATCCATAATGAGGTTTTGGAAGTGAGGAGGAAGTGGCAGTTCTGCTGATCTTGGTATCACCCAGAGTTGGGGTGAGGTAGAGAGTAGGCATAAGATAGATGATCTGGTGGGAAGAGTGGTAGGGATTTGTGGGGGCAGAGGGCAGTGGAGGACAGATGGACACACAAAAGAGAATGTGAGGAAAAGTTTTCATTAGAAAGAGCAGACGGGGACTAGCAGTTAGTGTAATGGCTATGTCGCTGGATTCCCACGTAGTCGACCGCAGTTCGAGTCCTGGACCTGGTGGCTTAAACTCACACTGGATGTGTGTGTGTGCGTGCCCAAGATCCCGAGAGGAGAATGGAGGAGAAGGGATTGTGGCGTGGCCATCCCCCCCGGGGGGGTGATTTCTCGCTTTCTATCTCTCCCTCTGGTGAGCACATGCGCCCTATAGCAAAAACCTCTCCAAAAAAAGAAAAGAAAGAGCAGACAGGATCAGCCCGAGGCATGTCCCTGTTAGAGTCCCAGCAGGGCTGCTTGGGAAACACTCTGGGATTGTATGTATGCATGCCCAAAACTCCCAAAAGGAGAGAGAAACAGAGGCGAAGGAATTTCGGCCATATCCCATGGAGGATGCTTTCTCACTTTCCCACTCTCACTTTCTCTGGCGAATGCATGTGCCTTCTTGCTAATTTAAAAGAAGAAGGGAGAGAGAGAGAGCAGACATTACCATCTTTAAATGAAGTAAGAATTTGGGTTTTCAGGTGGCATCCTACCTATGTTTCCTCCATACACGGGAGTTAGTCTTGTATTGCAAATAGTTGTGGTTAGATTGTTTTTTGATCCAGCAATTAACCTTTTCATTTTCTAGGATTCTCAGTGACAATGAGTTGACTGAATTACACAAGGATTCATTTGAAGGCCTACTATCTCTCCAGTATTTGTAAGTTAGTTAATCATTTATTTGTGAGTTTTTAGTTACTTTTTCAATGAAAATGAATAAGGGGTTCAGATTAGATCATCTCTAGAATTTCTTCCTGTAATAAAATTTTGTAATTCCCCAAGTTTATACAGAGTTTTGGCCTATCTCTACCATTAAGTACCTCCCATATATATATATTTTTTATTATGTAGGCAAGATATACATAGTAAAAGACCACATATAGAGTAAAAGTAGTATTAAGAGCTGAGCAATTACTACCACATATATGAATTTTTATAGGATTTATATATCATCTGCTTATGTTTATATTTAGTCTATGGCTCATGGGTCAAATCCAAATCACTTTTCATACAGCCTATAAGTTAAGTATGGTTTCTATGGGGCCAGCAGGTGGCAAGATGGTTAAGGTGCTGGACTGTCATGTAGCTGACCACAGTTCAAGTCCTGGACCTGGCAGATTGATATTTATGTTGGGCACATGTGTTTGTGCAGGTGTGCCCCAAATCCCAAGAGGATAATGGAGAAGGTTGTGGTAAGGCTATCTTTCCTGGGTGGATGATTTCTCACTTTCTGCCTGTCTGTCTCTCCCGTGAGCTCACACACCCTAAAGAAAAAATCTCTCTAACAAAAAAAGAATATTTTTGCATTTTAAAGGATTGTAAAAGAAAAATGAAGAACATGTGACAGAGACACCATATGTGTTCTGCAAAACTTAAGATATTTATTTTCTGACTTTTATTTTTAAAAAGGTTGAAAAGGGGACCAGCAGTTAGTATAATGGCTATGTTGCTGGACTCCCATGTAGTCGACTGCAGTTCACGTCCCAGACCCGGTGGCTTAAACTCACACCGGGCGCGCGTGTGTGCGTTTCCAAGATCCCGAGAGGAGAATGGAGGAGAAGGGATTGTGGCGTGGCCATCCCCTCTGGGGGGTGATTTCTCACTTTCTGTCTTTGTCTCTTTCTGTCTGTCTGGCAAATGCATGCGCCCTATAGCAAAAACCTCTTCAAAAAAAAAAAAAAGGTTGAAAAGGTTGGTTTAGCATTAAAAAAAAGCATTAACCTCAGATTTTTGCCTCAAGGAAAAAAATAGTCTATTTTATTCATTTGAATGCCATTACTCTGATTGTTTGGATAATTTAACATGAATTAAATATTAAATAATTAACCAAGCAGATCAATTATATAAATAACATTATCAAGAATATTATGCTACCAAGACAATAGACTTAAATGCAGGAATTTAATATTCATTTTAAAAATTAATGTTTAAAATAATGGTTAAGTGATAGAAATGTTTATGCCAAGTAAGCTATCAGAAATGAATACTCTGGGACCAGCAGGGGGCTTGGTAGTTAAGGGGGCTGGACTCCCACATGGCTGACCATCGTTCAACTCCTGGACCTCGTGGCTTGCTTACTCACTTTCCCTCTCTCCTTCTCTCTCACACTGTCCCTCTCTGGTTATATAAATAAATAAATAAATAAATAAATAAATAAATAAATAAATAAATAAAGCTAGATAAAATAATTCTTTTAAAAAATTTAAAAGAAATGAATGCTCTAAGTTTCTTTGCTATGGAAACTTGATTCTTATCCTTCATCTATGGGATCCAAAAGTATGTATGTCATTACTCCATGTTAATCTAATTAATGATGTTCTTTAGCAAATGAGTTTTTCTTTCAAATTTAAAAGTCTTAAGAGGAATGAGTATAAAGAGCCACACATGACAGTAAAAACAGTCTTTCTAGGCCTTAAGAGAGTGACCACATTTGCACTGGTCTTTTCGGTACTTCTGCCATCTGACCTCCCAAACCTTACACAGTTTGGAGGAAAAATTAAATAACTGCTCAATGCAGTGGGTACTTCATTACTTCTTCTGCGAAATATTACATAAGTTGATTATTTCATGCTAGCATATGTATTCTCATTATTTTTAAAAATGCCAGTCAATGTGTATGGCTATGTATACACACACACACACACACACACACGGATACATGCATACACTAAGCACTGTACCTAGTTTTAGAGGCACAAAGATGAGTAAGACAGGGTTCTTATCCTCCTAGGAACTCATGGTCTCATAGGGGAAACAAACACATAAAGCAGAGAGGCAGAGAGGGACCATGAAGAAATAAAGCTGCATTTCTTTTAAAATAATCTTTGTCTTCTTATATTCAATTCCCAGCTATTTGTTTATTTTATAAATATTTGAATGAGCTTTGTATGTCCATGTGTTGGGTTTAAACATAGTGGACAGTGCATGTGAGCAAGACCTAGTCCATGCTTTCAAGGAGTTTATGTTGGGAAGAAATGAGACACAAAAGTAACTATTAAAAAGAGATTGAGGGACCGGCAGTTAGCGTAATGGCTATGTCACTGGACTCCCATGTAGTCAACCGCGGTTCACGTCCCGGACCCGGTGGCTTAAACTCACACCGGGCACGTGTGCGTGCGTGCTCAAGATCCCAAGAGGAGAATGGAGGAGAAGGGATTGTGGCGTGACCGTCCCAGTACAGAGGAGGAAGACTTCCACAGAGATCGGGGGATGTTACTAGAGCCATGCTGTTTGAACAGGACCTCAAAGGGCCATCGGGTATCATCTGACACCTTGATGAGAATACTCTAGGCTTGCCAAAGGAAAGTAGGAGGAAGGCAGAACGTCTTTCAGGAAGTCTTTTAGGATGCCATGAATACCTGTAGAGTACAAGGACAGAAAGTAAGACACTGGAGTGAGATATGGGCTTTTAATGCCAAGCCAAGGAGCCATGATGGGGAACCACTTTATCTTCCCAGGGCTCTAAGACAAACGAGCCTCTGTGTCATTAGTCTCATCACTTGACAGGCTCTCTAGAACTAGGTTCTGGACCCTGCCCGGACAGTAATTGATTCAGTCGGTCTGAAGGAGGGCCAAGAATTTGCATCTTCAGTAAGTTCCCAGGTGATGCTGGTCCTTGGTGACCACTTCTGGGCCATCTACCTGGTGATTGTGCCAAGAGGATTAGAAAGGGAGAGATGGAGACACCTGTCAGAGGACAGTTACACCCCTCCTCCAGGTGAAAAGTGACAGGCAGGCTGGAATCCATGGAAGTAAGCGTCAACTGTAGCGAAGATGGGTGTTCTCAAATTTTAAAATACCCGGTTCCATCTTGTTTTTTGTTGTCCCACCACTAAAACTGAAGAAGTTGCTTCCATGGAATATGAAGGCAGTATTAAACCAGAGTGTCTTCTTATTAATATAATACAAAGTATGATTCTGAATTAGTTCAAAGTTATATATTATCTAGAGGAGTAATTTCCTTTCAAATGATGTGAAAAGATATGTTTTATATCTTCTGGTATTGAATGACCTAGAAAAAGAGAACTAAACTAAGAAAGTATATAAATGTGAGAAAATTCTTTTAATAGTAGAAATCACATACATGATGAAAACCATTGAGCCCATAATCTAGAATTTGATGAGACTACAAAAGGTCATCTAGTCAGTTTTTCTGACCTTGGGGATGATTACCTCCTAAACCTGTCAAGATATCTATAGTTGTATATTTTATTTATAAAGATCAAGGATGTGTGACTCTTAGGAGAGGTATAGGCAGGGTTAGGGGATCTCAAAAGCTCTAATACAAGTTCAGACAAAACTATGTAGTCATTATCAGTCCTAAACTCTAGTATTTCTATTAATTAGATGTAACAGCTAATCAAGGCAATATATTGCTTCTTTTTTCCTAGAGATTTATCCTGCAATAAAATACAGTCGATTGAGAGAGGTACATTTGAGTCACTACCATTTTTGAAGTTTCTGTAAGTTACCATTATAACTTTACTATACTTGACATTTTTATGAAACTTAATTAGAAACCTCTAAAATATGATTAAACTTTTACCAGTAGGAAGTTACTAAAATTACATAGAAATCCTCTTCATCTCTAACAAAGATCAATGTAAGAATTATTACACAGGTCAGAGTAAGTCATTATAGACCGGTGGTTCTCTGCTGGTGTGATTTGGTACCCGGGTGACATTTGGCAATGTCTGGAGACATGTTGGGTTGTCACAGCTCTGGGTGTGCTACTGCTCCTAGTAGGCAGAGGCCAGGGATGCGGCTAAACAGCCTGCTATGTAGAAGACAGACTTGTTCAACAAAGAAATATCCAGCCCACAATGTTGACGTCTTGAAGTTGTGAAATTCTGTTTTAAAAAGTCAAGATCACTCAACAGCAGTATTTATTGAGCATTCACTGTTTCAGATCTAATGTACCACACGTGTAAATATGCAAGTTGAAATTGTAAGCCTGTGTCTTCCACAGTGAGATTTCTGGAGTGTATGGAAAAAGTACTAAAATTATGTTTTATCTTATGTAAATTAAAATCATTGCCAAATGATAAATGTTCTCAAAAAATATATTTCTTCTTCTTTGACTTATGTCTTTTTTTGTTTGTTTGTTTTTGTAGAAATCTTGGTTGTAATTTAATCACAGAAGTGAGCTTCGGAACATTTCAGGCCTGGCATGGGATGCAGTTTTTACACAAGGTGTAAGTGATATCTAAGTTGAACATATGTAAAACCTACTTACATGTAAAAACATTATACAGTTATTGGTTAGCTGGATGTAAGCCCAGTTTGAACTCTGAAAAGAATGCCTTAAGAGCCATCCATTTTGGGGCCAGCAGGTTGTGTGGTGGTTGAGGTACTGGACTCCCACATGGCTAACTGCAGTTCGAGTCCCAGACCTGCAGCTTGCTTTCTCACTTTCACTCTGTCTCTCCCTCTGGTCAAGTTAAAAATGAGAATCATAAATGAAGTTAAATAATTCTAAAAAGGGAAATTATTAGAAAAAAGAGACATCCAGGACCAGCAGGTGGTGTGGTGGCTAAGGCTCTGGATAATTCCATATGGCCAACCATGGCTTACGTCCTGGTCCTGGTGGCTTGCTTTCTCACTCCCTCTGCTCCCCATGTGTCTCTCTCTGGTCAAAATAAAATAAATTAATGAATAAATAAAATTAAATGAATAATTCTATAAAAAAAGAAGAGCTATCCATTTTTTCTAGGTTTATTTATTTATTATTTTTTTTAGAAAGAAAAAGGTAGTATAAAAGGGAAAGTACACTCCTGAGAGGTAAGAGCAGGCCTGAGCGGACAGATAAAGAGTGGCTCAAAAGGCCTATCCAACTTTTTCAAATGAGGAAAAGCAAAAAAAAAGGAACTAAGGTATAAAGAGCTGAGAGACTGGAACTTATGTAGGATATACACTGCTTTCTCTAGTATTGATTTTGGCCTGGGCCATAAAAGGCATCGAACGGGACCAGCAGTTAGCCTAATGGCTATGTCGCTGGACTCCCACGTAGTCAACGGCGGCTCAAGTCCCAGACCCGGTGGCTTAAACTCACGCTGGGTGTGTGTGTGCGTGCCCAAGATCCCGAGAGAATGGAGGAGAAGGGATAGTGGTGTGGCCATCCCCCCAGGGGTGATTTCTCGCTTTCTGTCTCTCTGTCTCTGTCTGTCTTTCTGGCGAGCGCACTCGCCCTGTAGCAAAAACCTCTCAAAAAAAAAAAAAAAGGCATCAAGCAGGTAGACCCCAAATCGCTGGGAGCCCTAGCAATATGTGAATGGTACTTTAAAAAAAAAAATCTCTTTTTAAAAATTATGTAGTTTTGTTTATTATTGTTATCATTATTTTAATTTGCTATATGGCATGTGCACTCACCAGAAAGAGAGAATGAGAAAGCAAGCCAGGTCCGGGACTCAAACCACAGTCAGCCATGTGGGAGTCCAGCCTTAACCACCATGCCACTTGCTGGCCCTGAACGGAGTAATTTTTACGGCACAATATTCTTTTTTCCCCCACTTATTAATTTATTTTTACATTTTCCTACAAACATTTCCTTTATATATCACAACATTTTTGCTCATACTCCATTGTTCTTGACAGTTAATAAACAACTTTTAAATTTTCAGATTACTGAATTTTAAAGATAATGTTCAAAATATTTCTTATAATTTTGTATAATTTCATTTGTGACTCTATAACAACAGAGACAGTATGGTTTTAAATATTTTTGAGAAAATTTGTACATGTCAACTACTCAAATTGTTGAAAAGCAAATGCCCAACACATTACCAACACATAAACCATCTCAGTTCAGGCCTGCCTACCAAGTATTCTGTGATATACCATCTGCTAGCAAAGATCAGTCTCTTTTTCTTCCTTCAAAGTCTTTCTCAAGATAATCCCCTGGTGTGGTTGCTCTTTTGCAGTCTCTATGGATTACAATACTGGGCTGGAAAAGTCCACATTATTTTATGTTATAAATTCTTTAATATATCTTCTCTAATCCTCTCTGCCAGGCAGAACTATTTATGGTGCCAGGCTATCTTTCTAAGAGCTTCTGTTGGCTTACTTGAGATCCCCCTTAGTCCCATAGTTTTCTGATTCATCTTCAGGTATGACATTCCAGTCAAAGCCCTGTCCAATAAAGAGTATTTCCAATTTCTGATTCAATGCAACAACCATTATTGAATTTATGCAAGTAACCCTTGTGCCACAAAATAAGAATACTCCCAAATATTTCCAATTCAAGAGGGGTCAGGAAGGAAAAGAAGAAAAATGTATGTTTCCATTTAAAGAAACAAACAAGAAAAATATTTTAACAAATTGCTAAACCCATCATCAACTCAAAATGTTTAAATTGGGAAAACAAAGCATAGTGAAAAAAAATCAGTAATGTTTTACTCAAAAGTCATAAAATTCTGTTTTACCATTTGAGTCTTATGTTCAAACTCTTCTGTGGAATATGCAGTGTTGCTGTGGTCCAATCTTTCCATTTACACACTGGAAGTTAACATTCAGCGGTATTATTGATATTTCTTGTCTCTAGCATTAAACTGGCCATTTTCTTGGTTGTCTTTTGTTCTCTTTTTTCTGTATGAGTCTTTAGTTTTCGTGGTAGAGCACTCCTTTAGAAACTTCTTGAAAAGTGGGTCTGCTATTGGCAAATTGTTTCATTTCTTGTTTATCTGAGAATGTTTTTATCCTTTCTTTACATATGAAAGATAATCTTGCCGGGTATAGTATTGGTTGAACTGTTTTTCACTTAACACTTTGAATATATTTTCCCATTTTTCCTTGCTCACATTGTTTTTGATGAGAGGTCTGAGGTTAGCCTGATGGGATAACGTTTATAAGTAACTTGACATTTCTCTCCTGCCAATTTTAGTGTCTTGTCTTTGTCTGTAGATTTGGCCAGTCTGGCTATGATGTGCCTTGGAGAAGATCTTGGGTTGAGTCTATGTGGGGTCCTTTTGTATTTCTTCAGTCTGGATATTTGAATGCCTCTCTAGATTTGGAAAGTTTTTTTCCAAGATTTCATGGAATAGATTATCAATGCCCTTATTAGTTTCCTCACCTTCTGAGATACCAATTATCCAGATGTTTGGGCGCCTAATGCTGTCTAGTATTACTCGTATAGTATTCTCATATTTTTTGGTTATTTTCACAGTTTTTTGGTGGGTTTTTCTAGATCCGAGGTTTTGCCGTCAGCATTCAAGATTCAATTTTCTGCAAGGACTAATCTGCTTTTAATACTTTCAAGGGAGGTTTTGATTTCCTGAATAACAGCCTTCATCTCTAATAGCTCCGTTTGATTCTTTTTTATGGTGTGTATTTCCTCTTTCATGTCATGGAAGAACTTTGATACCTCCTGGAAGTCATTGTCTCTTTTCTGCTGCATCTTATGGAGTTCATTATCTCTCAGCTCTTGTATCTCGTTTAGTTTTGTTAGTATGAATATTCTGAATTCTCTATCAGATGTTTCCGTGAGATCTACTGTACTGTCTGTAGATGATGAGGGATTGTTCTTTTCCCTTAGGGGAGAGATAGTTTCTTGATTTCTCATGTTTCTTGTGGCCCTTTAGTTGTTTCTGGTCATTCAGTGACAAAATTTACCCTCTACTCTGCTTCACAATGTGGTATCCACAGAAAGATTGAATTCAGATTAATGAAAAGAAATTTCTTCATTAAAGCAGAAGGTTCAATAAGCATTGAAGATTTCAGTGACTCTCAAAGTATTCAGTGCTTGGCTACTGTGCACATAGACCTATGTAGATATTGAGTTGTGGAGAGTGAAGCTTAGAGTGGTAAAGTAAGGTTAAAAAAAATAAGCAAAAGAAAAAGAAAAACTAGAAAAATACTACCAAAAAAAGAAGGGAAAAAATTTTTGTACACATAAAAAATGAAAACCATGCAGCATGCTAGCACAAGCAGGCCAGGACACACCTCAGCTTTAAAATGACTTTGGAAATTAACAAGTGAAAGAAGAGGCACAAGTTGAGGTGAATTGGTTGAAAAAAAATTTTTTTAATTAAAAATTTAAAGAGAGATTGTGAGACAGAGAGCCAGCCAGCCAGAGACAGAGAGAAGACAGGTCGCTCTACCTTGTCTGAAGATTTTGGGAGACTAGAAGATAGGGTTTAGAGTATACCTTCCCTGAACAGGCCAGGACACACCTCGGCTTTAACGTGGCTTCTTGTCTGAATATTTCAGGAGTCTCAACAGCACTGTCTTCTGGTCCATGAACTCAGAATATCTTACCACTTATCTAGATATTTTATTCCTTTCAATACTGTTTTGTGGTTGTCAGTGTAAAGTCTTGCATCTGTTTGATCAGATTAATTTCTAAGTGTTTCATTCTTTTCTACAATATTATACATGGACTTGTTTACTTAATGTCATCTTTGGGTTACTCACTGTTGGTGTGTAGGTTTGCCTACTGAATTTTGCATGTTGATCTTTTCTGTCCTATAGTGTTGAACCGATTTATTAGCACTAATAGTTTTTTCTTTGTATGGATTCTTTGTAATTTTCTACATGTAAGATCATGTCATATGCACATAGAATATTTGTACTTCTTTCTTTCCAATAAGGATTTTTTTTTCTAATTGTCCTGGCTAGAATATCCAGTACAATATTTAATAGAAGAGGAGGGCTGGCTCCATGGCCTGCTGGTGAATGCAACCGAGTCCCATATGGCTGACTCTGCAGTGTGAGTCCCAGAGCTGACAGCTTGAGAAACATGCTGGATGTATGTGCGTGCATGCCCCAAATCCCAAAAGGAAGAAGAGATTGGGAAGGGATAGAGGTGTTACCATTCCCCGTGGTGGGGATGCTTTTGCCTCTTCCCGCCCTCTCTGTCTCTGTTTGGCAAGTGCATGTCCTTTTTTGTTTTTTAGAGGCTTTTACTTTAGGGGTCATGTGCTCACCAGAGAGAGACAGAGACCAGAGACAATGAGAAGGAAAGTAAGAAATCACCCTCCAGGGGGGATGGCCATGCTGCAATCCCTTCTCCTCTCTCCTTCTGAGATCGTGATCATGCACACACGCACCTGGTATGATTTTGAAGCCACCGGGTCTGGGATTCAAACCATGGCCATATGGGAGTCCAGCGACATAAATCTTACGTCATCTGCTGGCTCCATACTTCTAACAATAACAACAAAAAGTGGGAAGACAGGATATCATTGCATTGTTCTTAATCTTAGGAGGATCACAGGTACACCTGGTGTACTCAAGTCAACCCAGGATCCAAACCGGGAATTTTTCCCATGTGGTTCCAGCCACACCCAATGGAACCTATGACCGGCACCACCATGCCTGAGGCTATACTGTCTTTTATTCTCACCTATGTAGTTACATTTACTGGTGTTTTTAATTTTTGCATGTAGATTCAAGTTACTCTCTGATGTCCTTCAATTCACTCTGAAGGACTCTCTTCAGTATTCTCTAGGGCAGGACTTCTAGCAAAAATCTCTCCGTTTTTGGTGTATTTTAAGAATTTATTTCATTACATTATCATCACTAGTATTTTTTAATTTCCAATATCTCCACTGGACTTTAATTTCCCAGTTTCTTCTTCTGCTTGCTTAAATCTGGCTTTCAGAGCTTTCAGTAACTTTTCCTCTTTAGTTACCATACTTTTAAACTCCAGAATTCCTGCTTGGCTCTCAAAATTCCTACTTTTTATTTATTTTTATTAGATTTATTTTTTCTGTGGAGCATGTATGCTTACCAGAGAAAGCGACAGAGAGAAAGTGAGAAACCAGCCCCCAGGGAGGATGACCATACCACAATCCCCTCCTCTTGGAATGTTGAGCATGCATGCACATGTGCCTGGCATGATTTTCAAGTTACCAGGTCTGGGACTCAAACCACAAAGTCAACCATGTGGGATGTATCATCCTAACCTCCATGCCACCTGCTGCCACCTTTCCCAATTTCCACTTCATTTTAAAATTGTATTTACAACTACTATTATTTTTTTTAAGAGGTTTTTGCTATATGGTGCATGCACTGGCCAAAAAGACAGAGAGAGACAGAAAGCGAGAAATCACCCCCAGGGGAAATGGCCATGCTGCAATCCCTTCTCCTGCATTCTCTTCTAGGGATCTTGCGCACGCACATACACGTGCCTGACGTGAGCTTGAGTCACCAGGTTTGAGACTCAAACCACAGTAGACTACATGAGAATCCAGCGACATAGTCATTACGCCAACTTCTGGTCTCACTACTATTATTTTTAATTTGGAATAGGGCATGTATGTTCACCAGAGAGAGAGAGAGAAGGAAAGTGAGAAAGCAAGCTAGGTCCAGGACTCACACTGCAGTTGGCCATGTGAGAGTCCAGTGCGCTAATCACCCCATCACCCGCTAGCCCTCTCAAATTTCTACTTTTTCATCATGTTTTTTATTTGAGGGGACATTATTCTCATATTTTCCTTTAATTCTTTAAACTACAGAACTAAACGGTTTCCTTTACATTTTGAACACATTTTTTTTAATTAATTTTTGATTGCTAGAGAGTATGTACACTCTCCAGATAAAGACAGAGAGATGCAGGAGAGGGGAGAATACCACCCAGTGGGACACAATCATGCTACAATCTCTACTCCTCCATTTCTTCGTACTGTCAGGATTTTGAGCATACATGCACATGCAACCAGTGTGTTTTTCAAGCCACTGAGACCAGGATTCAAGCCATAGCCAGCCATGTGGGATCTGGCTCCTTTAACTACTAGGCTACTGGGCCTACTCTGAATATATTTTGAATAACTGAATTAAATCTTGGTTTAGTATGTCCAATGTCTGGGCTTCCTCAGGGTCTGGTTTTTATGATTTTCCCCTCCTGTGTATAGCCCATACTTTATTTTCTTGCTCACTAATTTTTATTACAAATTGGACACTATACACTCTACAATGTAGCACTTATGCAAATCTTATACCTCTCCAGGATATGATGTTATTACTGCCTGTTGAAATAGTTCTGTTTCTTGGGACCCGCTGACAGCGTAATGATTATGTCACTGCACTCCCTCATGGTTGACCGTGGTTGGAATCCTGGACACGGTGGCTTCAAAATCACACCAGGCATATGTGCGTGCGTGCGCAAAATCCCAAGAGGAAAATAGAGGAGAAGGGATTGTGGCGTGGCCATTCCTCCTAGGGCGGTGATTTCTCACTTTCTGTCTCTCTGTCTCTCCAGTAAGTGTGCGTGCCCTATAGTAAAAATCTTTCTCTCCAAAAACAAAACAAAACAAACAAATAAACAAACAAACAAAAAAAATACCCATTTCTTTTGTGATTTTTCTGAACTAATTCTGTAAAGTCTGTGTTGTCTGTCACGTGTGGTCACTGAAGTCTCTATTTGGTTAGCCTCGTGTTCAGCTAGTAATTGGATAGAGAGTTCCCTAAATGCCTGCAGCCATCAGTTCTCCCGGGCTTCTCTCCGGGCTCTGTGTGCATGTTGGGGGTGAGTTCAGCACTCAGCCAGGAGGTTTACAGCCTTGCCTTAGCTTTCACTTCCTACTCGTGCAGAACCTCAAGAGCAACTAGAGACAAGAGTTGAGGGACTTCGTAGGTCTTCCCTGACTTTGTTCACAAACCCTACACACGGCCTTCCAGATTCCCAGGACTATGTCTTCCGGTCTTCTGGTTTCCCAAGGATACATGGGAGTATTTCAAAGTTCCTATGAGCATCATGTTACTCTGCTTTTCCTGTGAATTTCATTTTCCCCCAACTATTATTATTCATTGCTTCACACAGCTTCCATGTTAAAATGCTTGCCTGTAATTGTTCTCCAAAAACTCCCTCTGGGAAGACTTTTAGACCTAGACAGGTCTCACTGAGGTCAAATAAAGACAAGCCTTTCAAGGGAGGTGTTTCAGGGAACCAGTAGACAGGTCAAATAACTACTGTTCCCTGGGAAGGAGGCTTTGAAGGAGAACCAGCTCCCTTCTGCTCCCTCTGTGCTGTGGGCATGGGCTATTCCTCAAGGCTACCACAGAGCAGAGGAGTAAAGACTAGTCTAGGGCAAGCTAAAACAACACAGATCTCACCATTCTTACAGAGATCCAGCCATTGTTTCTTGAATAAGTACTCCTTGAATTGCTGCAAACTTTTGACTAAATTTCCAGAGTTCTGAAAATGTTACTCTGACCGTTTTTGCCTTTTTGTTTTGGTTGTTGCTTTTTTGGAGGAGTTAGTTTTCAGATATCCTTATTTTATCATTTTCACTGATGTCACCTATAACTTGTTTTAAAATCTCTCAAGTCTCAATAGCGTAGGCTAAATATTTAATCATAGGCAGTAACTAGGGTAAAGGAATAAAAGAGCACTGTAATTATTACAGAGGCTCTCCCAGGTAAGTAAAGATTGAAAAGGTGTTTCTATATATATTCATCTCACAGTTATGGCCAAATTAACAGCTATTTTAAATCCTTTTTCTTCTATGGGTTAAATACAGGCTTTGAAGTCAGAACTGAGTTCAAATTAAGACAGGTTACATAACTGCTCTGTGCCTCAGTGTCCTCATTTGCAAAGTGGAGAAATAGCCACCACATATGGTTACTCTGAGGGTTAAATGTGAAATGCTGATTACAGATGCTGGCATCCCAATAGATAACAGTGGTGATGACTATTTTTATAATATTGTTCAAAAGAACATTAATGGTTCTTAAGTAAAATTAACCTTAAGACATATTTTCTTTTCTTCTTGTTTCTCCTCTTTTTTTTTTTTTTTTTTTGCTTACTTTATTTTATTTATTTTTAGAGAGTTTTTAGCAATAGGGCATGTGTGCTCACCAGAAAGACTAAGACAGAAAGCGAGAAATCACCTCCCAGGGAGATGGCCACGCCACAATCCCTTCTCCTGTATTCTCTTCTCAGGATCTTGGGCATTGATGCACACGTGCCCGACATGAGTTTAAGCCACCGGGTCTGGGTCTCAAACCACAGTCGACTACATGGCAGTCCAGCGATATAGCCATTATGCCAATTGCTGGTCCGTGTTTGCTTACTTTAAACAATGGAAAACAAAGTCTATTTTGACATTTTGGAATAGATTTTTATCAAAAAATGAATTTATTCATTTTATTGCTATGTAAACAAAATGTTTATTCAACAAATATGTATTAAATACCTAGTTCACTTTAGGCACTGTGTCCGGGACAGGGATGACATCAACAGTCAGGTGTAGTCCCTGCCCTCAAGGAGCTGACAGTCCAGGAGACTGACAAGTAAACGGGTGATTATGTCAGTGTAACCAAGGCTGTGACATGGTACAAGAACACAAATGAGAATATGTGATGGGAGGAAGTACATACACTTCAGCAGGCTCTTCCTTTTAGATTTACCCCTTTCTCTTTGGCTCCAAAGTCAAAGAATTGGTCGTATTTTTTTACTGAGTAATTTAAACCATCAATTTTTACAATTTTCGAAAGATGAAAGACAGGCATTTGAATTAGGGAGGACACTGGAAATAGTGGTTCCTACAGAGCAAGGACTCCTACCAGCATAGTTATTTCTAGGGTGAACCTGAAAAGTTCTTTGGCATATTTTGCCTTTGCTACCCACATTTTGCCCGTTACTTTTTTCTTTTTCTCTTTTCCACTTCATCTTCTAGAGATCTGGGTAGTTTCCAAAGGAAAAATGGTTTATGGATTCTAAGGGTGATTTATAACTACAACAGAAAAAAACTTTTTTGATTGTGTGTGTGTGTGTGTGTGTGTGTGTGTCTTAATATACAAGTTCAATACCAAAAGAAAGAATAAATGAAAATTTTCATGCAATATCATGCATATTGAAAATGCAGATAATTTAACCATTGCATTTTTCAGAATTCTCAGTCGTAATCCTCTGACAACTGTTGAAGATTCATATCTTTTTAAATTGCCAGCATTAAGATACCTGTAAGTATTGTGGTAATCTTATAAGCCATAGATGATTTCTGTACTTATTTATACTTTCGTCAAATATTAAGTATTTTGAATTTGGAATAAAAAGTCATAATTTTAATTTGGACTTTTTTTAATAAATAAAAAGTTACTGGAAAAGGATTTAAAAAGGATATATAATGGGTAAGACAACCAGCAGGGAGATAAGTACTTTGAAGAACACATATAGCACGGAACATGTTGGCTCATTTAGAAATATAATTTATCCCTAAAAACAAAGAGAAATAAGGTGTCCTTTTTTCTTTTTCTTTTCTTTTTTTTTTTTTTTCCAGAGGCTTTTGCTGTTGGATGTGTGTGCTCACCAGAAAGACAGAGAGTCAGGGACAGAAAGTGAGAAATCACCCCCCAGGGGGGATGGCCACGCTGCAATCCCTTCTCCTCCATTCTTCTGTCGGGATCTTGGCCCGCATGCACACACGTGCCTTGCATAAGTTTAAACTACTTTGTCCAGAACTCGAACCACGGTTGACTGCATAGGAGTCCAACGACATAGTCATTACGCCAACTGCTGCTCCCAATGTACATTATTTTAAAAGGCAAAAAAATAGGGGCCAGCAAGTGATGCAATAGTTAAGATGCTGGATTACCACATGGCCAACTGTGGTTCAAGACCCAAACTAGGTGCCTTGAAAAATCATACTGGGTGCATGTGTGTGCATGCCCAAAATCTGAGAGGGGAATGGAGGAGAGGGGATTGCAGTGTGGCCATCCCACCTGGGATGGTGGGCCTGATTTCTTACTTTTCCTCTCTCTTTCTCTGAATCATGCACCCTATAGCAAAAATCTAAATTAAAAAAAGAAAAGAAAGAAAGAAAAAATAAACAATCAAAAAAGGTACACACAATATGAAATGAACAGTAAGATAATGGTAAAAATCACGGTGTAAGTACTACTTTTCAGTGCCAAGATCATTCATTTGATGATATAGATAAAAGGATGTATTCAATAGCAGCTCTCTAAAATTATCTTCTATAGCAAATAAACTTTTGGGCTAGATTGTTTCATAGAGAAGCCAAAATTGAAGTGATCACTCAGCTTTGAAACATGTATATATTAAGCATTTTTATATTGGGGTTTATATGATGTTTGGGCTTTCTCCTTCAGAGACATGGGAACAACACAAGTGTCACTTACAGTAGTCGAGAAGATCCTGATGACGACTCTTGAATTGCAAAAACTGTAAGTTTTTTTTCTTAGACTCATTTTACTTCATTTTAGTATTTTTCCTAAGTCCAATTTATTGAGGTATAATTTTCACATAATAAAATTCACCCTTTAATTTTTTTGAGAGTTTTGCTATAGGACACCATAGATGCTCACTGGAGAGACAGAGAGAGACAGAAAGTAGGAATTCACCCCCTGGGGGGATGGCCATGCTGCAGTCCTTTCTCTTCCATTCTCCACTTGGGATCTTGGGCACACACGCACTGGCGCCCAGCATGAGTTTGACACTTCCCCTTCCAGGATTCAGACCGTGGTCGACCATATGGGAGTCCAGCAACATAACCATTACACCATCTGCTGGTCCAAAAACTCACCTTTTTTAAGTTGCAGTTCCATGAGTTTTGACAAATATGTAATTATGTAACCACCACTACATTCCTGATATAGAACATTTCTGTCACCCCAGAGGGGCCGCTCCTGACCCTTTGCAGTCAATCCTTCCTCTCACCCCCAGCCCCTGGCAACCACCAATATGATTTCTAGCCCGTACAGCTTGGCATTTTTCAGAATTTCTTATAAGTGAAATAATATAATATGTAGCCTTTTGTATCCAGCTTCTTTCACTCAGAATAATGATTTTGAGGGACCAGCAGTTAGCGTAATAGCTATGTCGCTGGACTCCCATGTAGTAGACCATGGTTCGCGTCCCAGACCCAGTGGCTTAAACTCATGCCAGGCGTGTGTGCATGCGTGCCCAAGATCCCGAGAGGAGAATGGAGGACAAGTGAATGTGGTGTGGCCATCCCCCTGGGGGGTTATTTCTCACTTTCTGTCTCTCTGTCTCTCTCTGTCTGTCTGGCAAGCACACACGCCCTATTGGAAAAACCTCTCCAAAGGGAAAAAAAAAGAAATAATGATTTTGAGATAATTTTATTATATAAGTCCTTGTGCCTATCACTAATTAATTCCTTTTTATTGTAATTTATATTCCAGTTGTATGGATATACGAGTTTGTTTATTCAATCATCAGATTATGGATATTTGAGGTGTTTCCAGGTTTTTTGGCTATTATCAATAAAGCTGCTAAAAACATTTACATGCAGGGGCTGGCAGGTAGCGTGATGGTTGGGGTGCTGGTCTCCCACATGGCCGATCACAGTTTGAGTCCTGGGCCTGGTGGCTTGCTTTGAAACCTTCTCCCCTCTCTGTCTCTCTCTGGTCAAATTTAATTAATTAATTAATTAATTAATTCTTTAAAAAAACATTTACATGCAGGTCTTTGTGTGAATGTATGTTTTAATTTCTTTGGGGCAAATACCTAGGGGTGGGATTGCTATATCACATGCTAAGTGCATATTTAATTTTCTTGAGAGGTTTTTGTTGTTGTTGTTGTTGCACTAGGGTGTATGCACATGCTGGAGAGACAGAAAGTGAGAAATCAGTCCCCCCCCATATGGAATGGCCACTCTGCAAGCTCTTCTCCCTTCTCTCAGGATTTTGAGCATGCAGGCACAGGTGCCCGGCATGATTTACAAGCCACCAGATCTGGGACTCAAATTGCAGTCGACCACGTAGGAGTCCAGTCTCCTAACCACTGTACCACCTGCTGCCCCCCTTATATTTAAAAAATTATTTAATTTATTATTATTATCATTATTTTTTTAATTTGACCAGAAAGAGAGGGAACATGAGAAAGAAAGCTTCCAGGCCCAGGACAGCCATGGGGGAGTCCAACACCTTAACCACCATGCTACCTGCTGGCCCTAGCCCATATTTAACTTTTTAAGCAACTGCTAAACTCTTCCTAAGGTGGCCATATCATTTTTCATTCTCACAAGCAGTGTATGAGGGTCGCAATTGTGCCACATCTTTGCCTTATCCTTATTTTATTTTTTTTAGAGAGAGATTTTTGCTGTAGGGCGTGTGCACTCACCAAAGAGGCAGAGAGACAGAAAGCAAGAAATCTCCTCCTGGGGGTAAGGCCATGCCGCAACCCCTTCTCCTCCATTCTCCTCTTGGGATTTTGGGCATGAGTTAAAACCCAGCATGAGTTTTTAAGCTGCCACGTCCAGGACTCGAACTGTGGTCAACTACATGAGAGTCTAGCAATGCAATCATTATATCATCTGCTGGTCCCCTTTATATTACAAATTTTTTTTAAATCTAGCCTTGCTAGTGGATATCTAATGTATCTCATTGTGTGTGTGTGTTTTTTTTTTCAAGAGAGATTTTTGTTATAGGGTGTATGTGCTCACCAGATAGAGACAGAGAGATAGAAAGTGAGAAATCAGCCCCAGCGGAAATGGCCACACCGCAATCCCTTTCTCCTCCATTCTTCTCTTGGGATTTTGGGCATACACGTACACGGCCCCAGTCTGAGACTTAAGCCTCCAGGTCTGAGACTCAAACCGCGGTCGACTGAGTGGGAGTCTAACAATGTAACCACAACGCTATCTGCTGGTCCCTCACTGTGGTTTTTAATAGCTGGTGATGCTGAGTGTCTGTTCGTGTCCACATACCTTTTTTCTTTTTGGTCTCTGTTGCGCCGTCCTGCCCAGAAGCCAGTAACAATCTTTAAATCTTTGTTTTGACCTCCTCCTCTGATCCTTACCACCACCAAAAATACTTTTAACTCTTTTGGAGAAGGAATCCATCTATACAATGGTGCACTGGACCTTCAGGCAGTCAGAAACTTTGGGTGGCTCCTCAGGTGCAACTGGAAATACAGCAGAAGCTCAGGAAGCCTCATCCAGCCTAGGCTTGGAACAGGCACGCTTTCATTTCTGCTTCATTCCATGGGCCAGGGCAAGTTGCATGGGCAAACTCAGAGCCAAGGGATGGGAGAGTACATGCCAACCACATGCACTATGGCAGTGCGTGGATGCAGGGAGGAGTCAGGACTTGGAGCCGATACTTCCATCTGCCCCAGTACGTGATGAGCCCTGGTCTGGAGGTTCACTCAACCTGGGTCCACTCTTTCAGTGGCTACCGGGATGCACTGGGGTCCTCAAGGAGGCAGACAGGCCAGGCGTTGTAGGTCCCCATCAGAAGTAAGCGGGCCACCTTCTACAGAGGGAGGCGAAGTGACAGCCCCAGTGTCGCCGTGATGCTGCTGAAGCTGAGCGAAGTCAGGAACCCAGAAGTCAGGATCGTCTGACCCAAGCCCGAGACAGAATACTGCCCGGTGCGCCAGGCTGGCGTCTCCAGGTCTCAAGCCACCCACATATCTGCCCCAGAGACTGGCACCTTCAGACTTTGGAGAGCGGTTGATCACGCCCCGTGGCTCCCCCGGTCCCGCGATTGGCTCCGGGGGCGAGGGGCGGGGCCTCCCGCGAGCTTCCTGGGGTCAGTGGTCGGGAGGCAGCAGCATCCTTACAGC